GCGTGTATCGTACAGGGAAAAGAGACGACGTCGCCCCAGTGTGGGAGGGAGAAGTTTAAGGAGCGAGAGGGGCGGGGATCTTAGGAGGGGCGCCTAACGTCACGGCGCATTCACTCACCGGCCGTCGCCGACGCCGCTGTGCCGCACACGCAATCTACACGATACGGTCAGTTTTGTCGCCTTTTTTCGTCGAACATCCCCTGTTCTTTTCGATTTTCTTCCAGTGGTGAACGCTTGGTACCCTCTTACCCGACCGCGCATGGTTTTCGTCATTTATTTCTCACCCCCTGTTCGTCCTCCGGCGTTTTCCTCCCTTCTCGGTTTCGTTTTCTCCTGGATCCCCGATCGAAGATTATTCGGATGATGATCGTGTTGAAAGTGCTACACCGAACAACGCGAGCAACCGAGGAACCGGTACCAAAAGTGATCGGGATACTACGTACACAGTGATGCACATGGCAAACGCGAGGGTGTCTTGGGAATCGCGGGCCGATACGGTATTCCGCTGTGGAACACGTTTGTGCTTTTATCGGGAAGACGGTGGGTGACAGTGAGGAATCAGCTGATCGTTTAGGGGCGCCACGTTCCTCTTATCCTCTGTCTCTCTCTAGCTGTCTGTCTTTCTCGCGCGCGCATTCTTCTCTATCTCCCTCTCTCTCTCGCTCTCGATCTCTCTCCCTCTCCCTTTCTATCCTTCACGGACGTCTTCTCTTCCCCTTAACATACACACCGCTACACACGGCAGCCGCCACGCGGTCCGCCGGCCGCGCTCAGCTTTCCCGCCAACGGTACCATCCGCGCTCCAGTCACGCGTTTCCGCGTTCGACCGATGTGTATGTCAACTTCCATGGGGCACGGATGTCTCCAGTCTCTTTGCGCCCCCCTGTTTCCCTCTCTCTTCCTTCACGTCTGTTTCGCCGGTTGAATATGTACTACTACGAGGACAGTGCGCGAAGAGCCTCGAATCAAGTGATCGCGAGTTTCGAACGATCGTTGTTTCGATAAACGATGTATCCTCTGGGACTATAAGTGCCATGTGTGTTTTCGCCGGTTTACATCGTCGGTTGGCTGGTAGTTCCGTTTGTGAGAAATGGATTGTGTGCTGCTGTTTACGATTAAGCTGGTACTCGATTGTGAAGCAAATGTGATCGTTTGTTAATGTAACCGTTATCGTAGCCGGGACCATTGGTTCGCCGGCACTTGTGGCGTGTCTTCGCACGGTTCTATCGAGATTGGGAAACGGTAACAAATCACGACGATGTGGAACCATCTGCGGGTTCTTGGTTCGTATTTTATACATTAAGAAATCAGCGGAAATACTTTGCGTTTGGACACCGTACGTAACGCGAGTGACGGATGTCACCTGTCCAGGACATGTTTGAGACGATGAATCTTGATGTTCATTAATTTACTCGGTTAGATTAATCGAGTTGAAGCGTAAAGAAACTTTTCATCATTTGCGCATATCTGATATTAATGTTATCGTATCGTTTCTGGAGAAATAGGTGTATCTTGTAGCCATTATACGTGCCACTGCAACAATCAAAGTTAATATGGATTACCAAGAAACAAAGTTAACGATGTTTGAAATCCCCAGCATGAAACCTTTGAACCGCCAAATCAGCGTGTTCCGAAAATTCAATGCCAATCCTCTTCAAACGGAAATATTTCACGTGTAAGATTTGGAAAATTTCTTACGATAGGTAATATGTGTCTTGAAGGCGAATGTAATTCTAAAATATTTCTTGAAGTTCAGCATTTGACGTAACAATGTTTAGCTTTAGATAAATCCGGAGTAACTTCTCAAAATTTAACGTAAATACAATTCTAATCGCTTAAAATTGTAATCTGAATAGAACTGGCAACAAAACGTCCAATTCACGATACATTAATGCGTTACATTTCAAAATTGCTTGAAAACAATCATAAGGTCAGAACTAGTGCCAAATCAAAATATTTCGTTAGATAACTAAATAATAATGTAACTTAAGAGCCGTAACTCCGAATCATTAATAATTGATTCTAATACCATTCGCCTTCGTTATGAAGAAATAAATAATTTCCGTACGCTAAAAATTCTCGTGGCAATCAACATGTTAACATGTGTCGTCGCACTCGAATCACAAACGATTCTGACCGTGGAAACACTACGAAAGACGATCAACATCGAGAGTGTGTACTGCTCGATATAAATTCGTAATCTTTTTTTTCTCCCCGCCCGAACACGTGCGAGTTCAACAACAAAGTTGCGACGAGTTTTCGACAGGCGCACAGTGACGTATCACGGTGCCGGGAAGCCTGAGGATCCGCTCGACCCTCGCCAAACGAACCCCGAACAGTCTCTTTTTTCGTTTTACCCGTGATTTTCCGTCTCCTGGAAGTTGCAGCTCGAGTCTGTGAATAATTTCGCGGGTCGAAAATTAGACGTCGCCTGTTTTTCGCCGGTTCCGCGGACGTCGCGCGGTTCAGCGACTTTTTCCGTGGTCATCTTCTTACATTCGACCCGGTTTCACGCCGTGAATCACGAATATTCGTGACAGATCGAGTTTCGTTCGATTCATTGTTGCATCACCTCGAAGCACGATAGTTAAACTGTAAAAAATTGAATTACGAGTCGAGTTTTATCGACGAATCGGCAAGGAAGACGCACAACGTGTTCGAAAGGACTGTCGGCTTAAATCGTAAACATCGGCAAGGCACGCGGCGAACGAGAAAGTTTTCGCGCGTCTCGCGAATCATCTGAATGCATTGATACGTTCTCTGATGAAAATTGTAATAATTTATTAAAGATTGAGTTGCTATTTTTACGACGAAGTTTCTGGATTTTTGTGTTTCAATGAAAACGGTCGATTTCATGTGCGATCTCGTTTGATAAGGAATTGACTTGTTATGGTTACTTATTCGTGAACCTGTTTAGAGAATATTGGGAAGAAGAAAGACACGGAAATTCTAGTGTAGTGAATAGAAATGTTAGAGAAACTAGGATTACTTTAAATATGGTTCGCTGCAACGTTTTCGATAACTGCGGTTTTAATAGTCAGGAATGTTTGTCTAATTTGTATTTTAAGTAATTTTACACAATCTATTCTATGGTTTAATGTTTCTAAAAGTAATATTGATTGATTGCAAAAGCAATCAATGAATGTAAATTAATATTCTTTGCTTTTAAATGTCGTGATCGTAGTACGTTTGAGATTCGTTTTTGTTATTATCTTTACGATAATAAATCTTATAACTACCACTTTTATGACAGTTCAGGCGATACATTAAACTAAAATAAATTTCAACTTCCGTCTTATGTTATGCATATTCAATGACAGCGTTAACTTCTTATCAAATCTTTCTTCTGTATGTAATCTTTTTAAGAATATTTTTTGTAACTTTATAAAATTCGAACAACTTATATTGCGTCTACGTACTTAAAATGCGTGTAAAATGTAGTAAACATAAACAATGAAAAATGTAAAATATACTCTAAATTCTACACTAAAAGTTCAACAAGTATCTTGTATTTAAAGTATTCAACGGGCACAAACGATAATATTATTAAGTAAAGTCTTTCTATTTAAGCAAATTCAAACCGTAACCGATAATTAGATCTTCGAAAACAAACGAAACAGTTTCATCATTGTTACATCGCGCAAAACTTTTAGAGACATACTTTTTTAATTCTCCTAAATTAAATTTTGAGGTATTGTATTAACATTTCGTTCCGTCTAGTTGCCAATTACCAAGTTGGATAAGTTAATTTTCAGCCATGTATTACGCTTCTCACAAATTCCGAAAAAACGATGAAAATTTTATGACATATTATACGCAAAATTGCAGAGTTTTAATTACTCGTCCGGAATATTCCTGCTTCATTGTATAATTATTCTCTTTATTATACTAAAAGAAAAATAGTTTTCGCATGTACCTAATTTATGTGGTGAAACAATTCTAAACATAACTGTGTGAAATATACAGAAATGCAATTCTACAAATATAAATGTAACAATCACTTTTACAAAAATCAGGAACCAATTTGTGACAGTAACATACACCGCTGTTCTTCAATCTGCTGCGTCATTTATATGTATATAAGACATTTGAAACTTCAATCTCATTCCCTTGTTAAAGGAGTGAATAAAAATTGATTGACACGCCTGATTCCTAAAACTTGCATTATAACTTATCAGGAAATCTCACAAACTCTGAAGTTCTGTGATCACTCGCGAAATTCCGCACTATTCCACAACTTCGAAAACTTGTCATTTTCATCTCGAACATTCGTTGTTACCTTTTTAACCCCTTTCGATCAGGTACACAGCGTAACGTACATTACTGTAATAGTTTCGAAGAAATTTCCCTATATTTTAAACTTCTAAAACATAAAATTAGAGATCTCTTTTGTTGATAGTTAACAGCAATAGCTACAATTCGTATGTTTCCTCTGCACCAATTTGAATCTCCAACCGCGAAATAAATATTTTCAATTGAACTGAACGAAATTATAAAATCTGAAGTTGTTGATGTTGCAATCAAAACGAATTACAATTAACCGTATTAAACGGCTCATGTAATAAGTAAAAATAAACACTAATTTGTACAACTTATTATTTATCACACAAGTTTCTTCGCTGTCTACGTTGTAAGCGTACTCGGTGCGCCGCTCAAGCTAACACCCCCATTCGTCATGAACACAGTATTCCAAACGATCAATCGCTGTTAAATCTGATTGACATGATAAGTTATGAATAGCGATAGAAATAGTGTCCGAAATTGAAGATTTTTTAAATTACAGGACAAGATATTCTTCGAAAAAACCTCAACTAAAGGTTTTCCATAGATTATTTACTATAAATGATTTTCTACAAATAATATTTTTCACTAAATATACAAGAAAAAATATCCTTACAATTATAAGTGTCAAGGGAACTTCACGTTACCGTATTTGGATAGATTGTTTAACCTGTTAATCGGGATTAATGAATTAACTCGTCAATCATCTTCGATTTTGCCTATCGAAGAATTCTTTTTCCATCTGCTGTACACAGTTCTTGTATTTTCTAAACTTCGTAATGCAAGTATTAATGTAAAGCGCACTACACTTATGTTTCTCGCTGGTAGAACGTCAAGAAACGATAATTATTTTTATATTTATTCACTAAACGAAAAAGTCATTTTATTAGTTAATTGTGTAATGTAATATGATATAGGAAGTTACGTCACAGTAAGTTTCGTCTTGAATTGTGGTTAATGTTTAAACAATGAGCCGGTTATCAGGTTAAGTCTTCGCCTTACGATTTCCTTTACTGCCGTGCTCTACACTTACTTGAAGAAAAAAAAATCCTACTTCCTCCGCAAGTTTTCATTTCCTCCAAACATCAAATACTGAGAAAACAAAAAAAAATACTACATTTCGACTGCGAAAAATTACCTAAATCTAGTTCGAAACCTTCACCACTTTCACTCAATATTACTACATACGACAAGGAGCTGTAAATCATAACAGTACAATTAAAGTAACTCTACTTTCGGCAGTAGTTTCACCCTTGATTTTTTGTACTTTGTATAGACAGAAATTTAATTACTGTTTAGTACATTCGGCACGGGGTGGGAACTATAGTTGTTAGGTACGAACCCTGCGATCATCTTTGAAAACTGTGGTATTGCTTTGGAAACTATAGTATCGCATTAAGAACTAAAATATTGTCTTAGGAACTATAGTGTCGCTTTGAAAACTATAGTGTTACCGTGAAAATTATAGTATCGCGTTAAGAACTATAGTGTCACTTTAGAAACTATAGTATTCCTTCGAAAACTCTAATACCTCCTTCAAAACTATAGCATCGCGTTAAGAACTATAGTGTCGCTTTAGAAACTATAGTATTCCTTTGGAAACTCTAATACCACCTTGAAAACTATAGTATCGCGTTAAGAACTACAGTATCACACTGATAACTGCATTATCGCTTTACATATTATAATATCGCCCAGAAAGCTACAGTCAACTGCTGCAATAAAAAATTGAGATTTGCCCACTTTGATGAAGCGTATTTTTCATGAATACCGAATGTATTCAACAACTAAACAACATCAGTTCACCATCAATCTCGCTCTTCGTACCGGGAAGTCGTTGATAAAACTGGCAGGTCGATTCACGGTCGAATTTGATTGGGTTTCAGGAGGACAGCGCCGTTCAAGATATTATCGAAGGGGTGGCATCCTTCGCGGTACGTGCGTGGCCGGTCGCGTGTGTGCATGGAAAAGACAGACGACCGCAAAACCTCGAGGTACGAAGGAGCACTCGGCGGAGCAAGGTGGCTCCGCTAACGGCACGAGCGGCGGTGAAAAAATGTCGAGCGCCGCGGACAGTCCCGATGGGATGGCTTTGCAGTCGCACTACTCCCTACGATGGAACAATCATCAGACCCACATACTACAGGCGTTCGAGGCGTTGCTGCACGCCGAGATACTCGTCGACGTGACCCTGGTCTGCGCCGAGACCAGCCTCAGGGCGCACAAGGTTGTCCTTAGTGCCTGCAGGTAGTGAAACGTTTTCATGCTGTTTTCTTGTTTTCCTTGTCTCCTTCTCTGTTCTCGGGATGTTCAACCGATGTTACGCTTTTTTCTTCGTTCCTTTTCCTTCTTTCATAGTTCCCTTCGCCTGAACCAACGGATTTACCTGTGTACACTTTAGACGCTACCCATGCAAAAATGGCACAACTGTTGGTTAGAAACTGGGGATTTGTACTTAAACGTTGTCACAGCTAGAGTTTGGATGATACGTTTTTTTTTATACAGATTTACAAGTTAATCTTTTCAGTGACGTATCGAATACGTTTTTCATGCTACCCGTGCAGACTTACAACGGACAAGTCTGTTTGTTGGGGATGGAGTATATGGTTTAGTTAGTGCTCGCGTCATAGTGATTGGCGGGAAAGAAAGTGACACTCTAATCATAGTAGAAGGGAAATGGGAGTGAATCTACGTGATGAAATAAGTTGAAAATATAGGGTAACGTTTGTTCGGTGAATGCTTGGATGTCGTGATATATAATACGAAAAAAATGGAAAGAAAAAACGTATTAAACGGCAGTGCGATTTTAAAATTAGTTCTTTTCGTAAATTGTGGTTCGATAATGTCAATTTATCCCTGCACACTGTATGTCGCTTTATCGTGTATGATATAATGTTAAATAACAAGTTATCCATTTCGTCAACCGCAGTTGCCGATCGTGTCAGTTTCGGTCATAAATTATGCATATTATGGATTAAAAAATACTCTGTTCAGATAAGCGGAGAAAATGTAATAGTTAAAATTGATGAAACTAAAATAAGAAAATACAATAGCTGAAACTGATGGAGCTGAAATAAGAAAAGAGAAGTTTAACCCTTTAAGGACGAATGTCGTCACACTGAAGACTTCAGGCTTTGATATTTGGAATCAAAGGCTGCAAACAAGTAATTTGCATAGTTAAATAAATAGTTCTTTTATTTCCTATTATTTAAGATTTCGATATAGAATATAGCTTTCCGCGAGAGAAATTTTTGATATTCTAGAAAATCTTCGTGTGCAAGGAGTTAATAAAGGCAGACTAGCTACTAGGTAACGAATATCTGTAGGTACGAAAAGGCCAACAAACAGCTATGTATTGAACCATTTGAAAATATTGCAATATAAGCACTTAGCTGTTAATCATAAAATGAATTTTGTCAATCCACAGCAGCACACAAACAGAATGTAGAGCGTGCGTGGAGAGACACGAGAACTAATATTCCTCGTTATGGAACTCGTACGTCACATTATTATGAGACATAGAGCAGAGTTTATCTTCAAACGACAACATGATTCCAATGAGCGTATGACTGCCTTCTTTGACGTAATGACAGAAATATTTTCCATTTTTGACACAATTCAGAATGATATACAATAGATATACATAATTTTAAGTTAAATTGGGGCTGATTTAGTTTTGTACTTATATTTGTTAATACAGAAACAAGTGCCACTGGAACATTTCAATGTCATCGAAATTACCAAGGAGGGCTTTTTTTCTAAATGATTACCATGTTTTTTAATAAGAATAATATTTAATTTATTGTTTATATAATAGATAAACATTAATACTTGAAAATTAGAGTATAATAATAACTTGTTGATAATATCTTTTTATATAAATTGTTCTCTTCCTAATTATTTTACAATTTCGCAAACACCTTTTATATCAAATGGTGTACAGCTTTGAGCATAAATCTTTTGCATTGATTTGTAAATTGTGACAATATGACGCGAATCTTATCTTATTCCCGAGTACTTTATCTTAGCAATTGCATTTTATCCCACATGGGGGTGAGATGAACAAGATTACTATTCACGAAACATAATTTATTTCAAGTTTTTAATTCTCGTGGCCTAAATTTTATCGCTGAAATGTGGAAGGTGAATACACGGTGACTCCAGAAATGCTTTAATGCATGTCACTTGATGAATATATTTAATTTTGTTTGCGTTGCCCCTCAGCTTACCCGTTTTACCATGCTCCTCCTCGCTGCAACTACAGTGAGTTATATAATTTTAGCATCAGCCATATTTTCCAATATCTCGGAGACTTGAATTAAAATGCAAAAACATCAAGTACACAAGCTGAGAGCATATGATAAATAGATTACAGATTCTATGCATTTATATCATTCGTGGTTATCTAATACACGGTATAATGAAATTCTTAATAATGTTTAAACCAAATATGTCCCTTGAACCTGGTAGAAATCATGGCTGAAGAAACAAATTTTCTGTTTATTCAAATTTTCGTTAATGTTTCTATGAATTTTTTTGTGCGTAAAAATATTTGGAGTTCATTAGCGTATCATAAACTTTAGGGGAGTTTCATTTAAGTCTCATGTAACTTGTAGAGAGTGTAATAGTAAATAAAATATGAAACGGTAAAGGACTATGCACTATCCATCATTTTTATCACAGAAATTTCTTCTGAGGAAACTCAAGTTATCTAAAATTCAGAAAATACTTCTATGGTTAAAGTTAACTTACGATGCAATTCAATCTCGATGCATGTTTCTCCGTGCGTAATCAAATCCAGCAACTTTGTTCTGTTTTGAAAGTTTCGGCGCAGATACTAGCTTTTACTTTATGATATTAGGGCTTTGTTTATGGACTCGATCTACAATTCAATGCAAGACAAATTTTACTATGTTATTACTTTTTTATGATTTTGTCACAACTTTTCGGTGCATCGATCACAACATTTACGATTATTCGTTTAAAGCGGAATGTTACTTTTTTCATTGTTTCATATTTTGTTATTCATACCGTAATTAGCTGAATCGTTCTAAAGACTTTGAAATCATTTACTACGATTTTGCTTTCTCATCTTATGTTTATTAATAGTATGCTAAAAGCATATTCTTTTCTTCTACGCTTCAATATTGATCAAGAGTTTCGTTATGATCTTCACAAAACTTAAAAAAAATAATAAGCTGTAAAGTTTATATAGTCTTTGGTTACTTTTTAAGTATCAAAGTAATTACTATGGCAATTAAAATTCTTTCTAACTTCACTTTCCTGAACTTTGCGTTTAAAGTAACGTCCACAGTACAGTAATATAAAAATTACTATTATTAAAAATTCAAACAGCAAAAAGTAATATAGAGTGTCATGAGGTGATGGTTATTCAACTTTATTTTAAATATATTTTTGTTTTGCACAAAATATATGGTTCTGTTTAAAAACAATGACCATTCTGAAATCTCCAAAAGTATGATCGTGACTTAAACATTTCATTTAAAATTGTCTTTTGTGTCATTACAGCTATCCGAAATGTTTAGAATAATTAATATTGTGGAATAAGCTAAAACAATACTATGACCTATGTAGCTGGGTCAAGTTTATTTTGATTAATTTCTCTAATATCTTATTTTAATTAAAGATACGAAAGAATATATATAATATTGAAACATAAATGGAACTGCTTTCGAAAAAATCGAGTTATAATATCAACTAGGTATAGGTACAACTGTAGAATAAAGTATGACGGGCTGTGTCTGGTCATTGCTCGCGGTTTCTACTTATCGCACTTATCACACTTTTAACCTGCTTTTCCATGTAAATGTATCCTTTTTCCGTTTGTATCGCCAATTCTACATCTTGTATCTTCCAGGTGAAGGTCGACCATTTCTACTTTCAAATAATTATTCACAGCAGTATTTTGAAATATAATTATCTTTAATTTCCCATTAAAGTATTTCACCCGACGATATCGTTGAAAACTTTTGTTTAATTCCACATTTAATTGTGTAAACTATAATGCAAATTACTCACTGATCAATATTCGTCAATATATAGAAAAGAATTCTATAGAACCTTTGATCATTTTAACATTCTAAATTCATTAAAAGCCTTATTATAAAATATATTATTAGCCATCGATATTTTCTGAAGAATCTCATATGCGTTTCTCTAGACGCAAACGCACTTATATTTTATAAACTAGTAGAACCATCTTAACTTCAGCTGTAAGATGCAATATTTATTAAATTCTAATTGGAAATTCATATTTTACAACACTATGTAAAATCTGAATACTGAGAAATCATTCCGTGATACCAGCTAGCTAACAACAACGACGTTAACGTAACAAAGGCCGCCAGAATATTAAAATTAACTTCTCTCACAGAAAAATAACACTCCTACCTAACCTACACGATATTTGTTCACAACTTGCATGTTGATTCTATCAAATCCAACGGTAATGCTGTCGTTCTTGTCAAGCGAAACGCATGACATGAAAGCAGCAACGAGCAAAAGTCTTGTTCTTGATAGAACTTGCAATCCGTCGATCCGTAAGGAGACGTTAAGTTTTGCTGCAGGTTTTTGTCCGCGGTTTCCGTTAGTAAAGCACGCTGCTACTCCCTTTGGCCAAACTACATGAAGAACGTAGATCGTGGACAAATGAACACCTCTTCTGTCCGTGTTCTAGCTTAGACTATTTCCGGTCCCTTCAACAGTGACGGCAAAACGGCCGCGAATCAAATCTTGTTCGCTGTGCACGCCGAGAATCGAGGCGGACTGTTGCAGTGACGTTGAAAGAAAAATTGCTCCGCGGCTTTCGAGAGAGTTTAAAACACTGTAGATACACGTGTAGTTTGTACGACATCCGAACTCTTTTAAGCATCGTAAAGATTATGTGTATAGTCGGCTCTCGCAGTAAGTAAGGGTTGCGTGTCTGATAATAGCGGAGTAAATCAAGCATAATTGTCTTATAAGAAGTAAAAGAGCTGGAAGGGTTAGCGGGCAACGATAGTACGCGACGCGTACATGCATACTTGGCTTTACCGCACTTAGGCTTCCTTTCTTTTTCCTTCCGTAAGACGTAACTGATACGGTTATGAATATTTACTGAGACGAATTTAACACGTTTCGCTGCTGGCGTCACGTGTTTCTCGTGATCACGATCTCGCATTCTGCGTAAGGAAAGTCGGATTCATTTAGTGAGGGTTTTTTATTGGGTGCCGTAACGCGTAGGGTTAATTCAGGATATGGGAAATTATTCTTACGTTTGCGATATGTTTTGTGGCGAAGATATATTGCGTTTGATAAAACGTCGCTATGAGGATGATTGTTTATGAAATAGGTGGTGGTAACAACAGTATTAAGGGGTTATTACTTAAGGTCAATAAATATATGAGGTTACACACAAGGATTTTTTACTTTTAGAATTATAAATCAGTTTTATACATGCTTAATTATAAATGACAATAATGCTGTTAGAATCGTGTTACGCAGATTGTTTTTACTTTTTCAATCTGAAGCGGCCTGTGATGTTGTTAAAGGAGGAAGGAATTCTAAGGGTTAGGAGGAGAGGGAGAGAGCGTTTTGTCCGGGATCTACCAGTGGAGTAGTCAGTAAGGGGCTTCCTGGTAGACCCGTGTCTTAGACGCGAGCACGAGTGTTGAAGGTTTATGGATGGTATATATACAAATCGTGAAAGACTGGAGCAGAAGCGAGAAAGGCTCTTAGGTCTCCGCAACCCCCTATGGGCGGAGTGTAGGAAAGCTTAACCTTTTCTTGAAGTTTTTTTAGAATACTTGTCAGCTTCGTTTTGTAAGGTATTTAATTTTTCAAATTAATCCAGTTTGGATCCACTTTTATTCAATATAAAAACTGGTAACAGCTTGATAACACTGATAGCAATCAACCAGACGTCAGATTTTCGCAAAAACTGGTTTAATAATTGCCACAAACACGTCATATATCGGTGGTGTTCTGAGTATTAAAGTAATAAATCATTAATTCAAGCTAATAATTCCTTGTCAAAACCTGGCAATATATTTTCGAAGTTCCCAGTATATATAAAGTATCAAAACCAATCTAACCTTCTCGAACTTTTTAATCAAAGCGATTCCCCACGAACCCAACCATCGCTGATCCTCTCCACGGATATAAAATTCCTGCAATAATGCAAACGTGTGTTCTCGTTTACAGTCCGTTCTTCGAGAGAATATTCGCGGAACACCCGTGCAAGCACCCGGTGATCGTGCTGAAGGACTTCCCGGGCCACGAAGTGGCGGCGCTAATCGACTTCATGTACCGTGGCGAAGTGAGGGTCGGCCGCGAAGAGCTGCCAGGCCTGATGCGGGCCGCGGAGAGTTTGCAGGTGAGGGGGCTGGCATCGTCGGAACCGAGGCCCGCATCTCCGCCCGAGACGCCGACCGCGGATCTTCTCCTGGGCGAGCCGTCGACGCCCGAAGGCGCCAGGCACAGCACGCCAGAGGAGGACGACAACGCGTCGGAGAGCACCGCGCCGCCGTCCACAAGAGAACCGATGGCAACCAGTACACCGACCATCTTTCACCCGGCCAGGGATCACCGCGATAGGTTACCACACATGAGTCACCTAAACTTCGGGATGCGTGAGCTGCGCGAGAGTTGCGGCTCGCCTTTGCTACCTCGACGGAAGCAGGCTCGTCCACGAAGGAGATCAGGTGAGCTGGTACCTCAAGACCTAAGCCGACCACATCCGCCGGCTAGCCTAAGTCCACCTCCAAGCGGTCTGAACCTAACCGGGAGCCAGCAACAGTTGCAACAGCAGCAACACCATCAGCAAACGACGATCCCTCAGAACCAGCAACAACAAGAGGACATCGCGGAAAACCTATCGATGAAGAGATCCCTGTCGCCGATCGGCACCGATCAACATCATATGAAAGCGGAAAGCAGCGAAGCGGCTAGTAGTCCCAGAGGATCACCGTTAACCGGGACAAGTCTGCTACATCCAGACGGTTCCCTCCAAGACATTCCGTCTGCAGCGGCGGCAGCAGCGGCGGCGGCTGCAGCAGGCCTACCGGCGATGTCGGCGTTGTCGCTGACACCGCCGCACCATCACAGCGAGTACCTGACGAGTCTAGGCCAACTAGCAGCCCAGTGGTTGCCGAATCATCCGCAGAGTCAACTGCCACCGCACCATCAGGGCCACCATCCGCGAGAAGGCAGTCCGCACGGGCCGAACAGGACACATCCATATCAGCAGTCCCAACAGCAACAGCAACAACAACAGCAACAACAGGAATCGCCGCTCACACCGCGGCGCAGCTCCGTTGCGTCGATGTTCCCGTTGGACGGCGTGGCATCTTTAGGCGGTGGTTTGTTCCCTCACGCGGGCGCGCTGGATAGGGGATCGCTTTTAGCGGATCTTCACGACAGTTTTAAACCGGAAACGCTACACGGACTGTTCGGCGCAGCGGGTCTAGGCAGTCATCACCCTGGCAAGAAGCCGAAGAAGCACAGAGGCGACGGCGACGCACCGCGCAGGTGGGGCGATCACGGTAGCCGGGGTCTACCGGTCGGTAGACCCAAAGGTCAACACAGTGCACCCAGAGGTGGACCGCCTAGGTCATGGACGAACGCAGAGCTGACCGAAGCGTTGCAGCACGTGTGGAACAAGAAGATGACGACGTCGCAGGCGAGCAGGATCTTCGGCATCCCGTACAACAGCCTTCTGATGTACGTGAGAGGGAAGTACGGTAAAAGCTTGAAGCTCGAGCAGCTCAGGAGGGATTGCACGGGTGCGACGACCGGCGACGTCGTGATGAACTCGTTGAACAACAACGTGAAGACCGTCCAGCCGCCCACGCAGATCGCGCATCCGCTGTCCGGGCTGCCGCCACATCCGGGCGACGACACCGGGTTCCCTCATCACTCGTTGCTCGGCGGCAACCTGCCGCAGGGTTTCTTTCCGGACTTCGCGGCTGCCGCGTTCCCAGTGCCGGTCAGTATGGTGCACTTGCTACCGCCGAGCGAGCAAAAGGCCTTCGAACCGGCCGGGAATCCCGGTGGAGGAGGCGGCGGAGGCGGTGGCGGTGACCTGTCCACCGCGCGGAGCAGTCGGACGCCGTCCCCGGTCGATCATCATCACCATCATCATCACGAGTCGCTGCAGCCGCAACCGCCCCAGTCGGCGCCCGCGCTACTCCAGCAGAACGGTTCGGATTAGGAAAGGAAGCGTCGGTTTACTCGTGATCATAGGCACCGCGCGCGGTAAATATTTATTATCCTCGTTGAAGGACCACGGACACGTCGGTGTCCGATCGCGAAACCAACCATCCCGTTTTACGATCCCCCGACACGCGGTACACACTCTCACTCGCGCGATCGCGTGCGAACGATACACACTCACACACAAACACGCCGACAAACGTACACACACAGACACGGAGACACGAGATTGCCCCGATTTTTCCGTGAGATGATTGTTCTCTTTTTCACAAGACTGACTATCACCAATTACAGCTCCCAGGGTAAAAGTTCGACGGACGTTCCGCTCTGCTCAAATCCCACGCTTAAGCCGCAGCACTGTCGCCACGTTTCACCTCCACCTTTTCTATGTTTCTTTTGGCGCCGTTCTTTGCCCGTCTGTCCACCGTTGGCAAAAATATCTGACGCGTCGCCCCCTTTGTCCGTCGATCGCTGAACAACGCCAGACTCCAGTCGAGCGTGCCGGCGAGAGATTCTCTCTGCCGAGAGCCGGGACCGAGCGTCTCGTCGCGTTTCCCTCGACCCGGTTCTTCGTCTTCTCGGTTAAAATTAGTGGCCTATGCCCCCCTTCATCCAACCACCCACCTGCCCATCCCACTGCCGGAGAGACAGACAGCACAGGGGGTAAGAAGAAGAATCATCGCCGGTGTCTTTTTTGGTGCTCATTCCCATCTCTCCTTCCTCCCCTCCTCCACCGTTCAACCGCCCGACCAGTTACCCATTCACCCCCGTCCGATCCACGGATCCCAGTGTAAACGTGTTAAAAGGTGACGGAGAAGCGGCACGCACCGCTCCGTCTAACAAGGACGCAACGAGGCGTTTCGGAGCCGGAGACTTTCGCCGGCGGGCGAGACACACCACTCGTATCATCACTATAAATAGTTCCTGCTACAAGAGCGATTATACCAAATAGTACTGTAAAACGGCTGACTAAATACGATGGATGCCTGTGTATGGAACAGCAGTCGCTGGGAAATGCTCGCAACTCCGGTCTCTTTGGAATCGCGGACCTCCTCGCCGTGAAAGTGACGCGCGATAGGGAAAGGGAGAGAGGGAGAGAGAGAGAGAGAGAAAAGAGAGAGAACAAGAGACACGCGCTTTCTACTTCGAACATCCTCGTGGCGTGTGATGATGTGCATGAGGTAAGAATCGCAAGACTCGAAACAATAGCATTTAAATATATATACAGACTATTAAGATTAACCTGTTCCAAACGCGCGCTCCGAGGCAGCTAGGGCGGCGCGCACCCCTGCTCGACGGGATTTGTTAACCAACCTTCGACAATCATGCAACAGCCGTACAATTGTTCTTTCTATATCACCGACCGACATCCCCCACGATTCTCTGTTTACCGTTCAGTGCAAATCCGTTCACCGTTCTCGACGCCGCCGGAACCGATGTTGACCGATCGGAACCGTCCAGCAGGCTGACGATCCCCCCGGCTGCCTCCGCGGAACGCGTTCAAACGAGCTTCCAAGTTGACTATTATTTTATAGGTTTCACC